CGCGAGCGACCGCATCCTGACGGACGACGTGAGACAGGAAGTTCCGCCCGCGCACGAAGCCTTGCTGGCTCTCGTGCACTCTTGCGGCCACTAGCGGGGCAAGCACATGATTCGCTGCACTAGCCACCGCCTTGGCGTCACAATTCTTGAGACTCAGAGGGCGAAGCTTCGACGCATGGCGGACCACCTCCACGGAGTCCGAGGGCTCGTCACCCTTGGGAACGAAGACCATGTCTGCGAAGTTGAAGCCGTGCGGCGCACCCCTGCCCTGGTACAGGCCGATCATCATGTCATAGAGGATGTCCACCAATCTTGGATCCGCCAACCAGGCGGCCGCAGGGAGTCGGTCAGGTCCAGGTGCAGTGGGCTTGGCACGAAGCAGCGCAGCGCGCAGAGCGGTTGGCGAAGGAACCTCCAAAGAGGGGCTGTCGAACTCAGGGAGATGAGTGCGTAGGTAATCGTCAACCGCATTGATGTCGACTGGGCGATCGGTGAACGTGGGCTGCCAGTGCTGGCGTAGGCCATCCATGATCATAGTCGGGTGACGCTCGATGCCCGCCTGGTGTCCCTCGCCGTCCATGCGGAGACCCTTGAGCACCAACCGACGACGGTATGGTATCCAAAGGAGGGCGCGCCGTTGAGCAGCTCGCTGTATCTTCCGCAACTGCTGGATGGTGGGGTCGCCCGCATCAAGCTGTAGTTGAGCATGTTCGCGGAGTCTGGCAGCTGCTGCAGCTTGCTGTTGTTCGTGCCAGGCAAGATGAAGGTCCATGCACTCTCGTTCAAATGCAGGTGGATTGGTCAGCAGGATGCGGTTGTCGCCATCGATGGTGAGGTGCAGGCGGCCCATGGCAGTGGAGTGGATCAGCTTGTGCGCAAGGTGCACGTCCTGCCTCCATATGGCTCTTGCAATCGCACGTGTCGATATTCTGCGACCCTCAAGAGCGTCAGCATGGCCATCGCCGATGGGCAGGGCCTGGAGCTCATTGCGGGTGATGCGAGCAGCTTCGATCATCTGCAGCTTCACCTCAGTCCATCGGTTCTCCTCTGCTATGTTCGTGAAGTCAGAGTGGTTGAGCAGGTTGGTGATGTGCTTGGCAAACCGTGGCGAGTTGAAGACGCTCTGGGGGATCGCGCGATCGTCAGGGGCCGCTGCAGCACGGGGCTGGATCCGCAGCTGGATGATGGCATGATCGCTGAGGCCCCAGTCCGCCAGGGAGGTCGCCTCCTGCCAGATCTCGAATGTGACAGAGGTGTCCAAGAGGAAGTGCGACTTCAGAGAGATGAAGGCCCTGTCGATGAACGTGCACGACTGGTGGCGCTTGGAGTAGTGGGTGGGAAGCTCGGACACGATCTCCACCATGTCGCGTTGGAAGAGACTGCGCCAGAAGCCCTGTGCTTGGTTGCCACGGTGCCAGACCGATCGGCTGTTGCCACCAGCTCGTCGGTAGTCACCCTTTTTGTTCCATCCAGCCAGAGGCAGAGTTGAACTCTCCGCGCCGTGCGCGGGGCCGGGGAGCAACGGTGCGAGGGTCACTAACGGCGCACCGCCGGGCAGTCCCCACTCGCACCGCGCCCCCCGTCGGTAGTCACCCTTAGCCAACTCTGATGAAGAAACCGAGGAGGAGGATTGCGAAGAGGAAGACGAAGATGAGGAAGAGGTAGTGGGAGCTCTCCGTCGCCGAGAACCCCGTGTTGGTGCCGAAGTGGAGGTCGCGCTCGGGGAAGAAAGGTGCACCGGCTCGATGTCAGCGATATTGAAGTCCCCGATAGCGATGAAAATACGGTGTCGTTCGTCACTTTGCGCCCATGCAGCTCCGTCGAGCCAGCGATGGCGCACCAGAGGAAGTTTGGCTGCAGGCAGCTCGTGGTTGTGGATGTTCATGATCTTGATGTGCTCGTTGTTAGTCAGATTGCTGATGGTGAGGACTGCGACGCGACCATCGATCACGGAGTCCAGGGAGAGGGAAGGGAGCATCTGAGGGTCCAGCGTCGCGAGCTCCGCCTCAGAGAACCATGGGACCAGGAAGGCAACGCCGCCAGCCCCAGGGGAGGCACCCGCGGACATGACGGCACGGTAATGGTAGGGCGTCTGGTTCAGCAGCGTCTGCAGCCTGAACTCTGATCCGTGCGCCTCCTGGACGACAATCAGCATGCGCATCTGAAGAAGCTTGCAGAGCCGTTGCATCTTGTTGTTGCGACGATGAGCACGTTGGCAGAGAAGCCCTTGGGCATTCCATGATGCAATACGGAGCGCCTGAGTGGTGCTGGGGCCCTGGCCCTGGGGAGCAGCCAACTCCCAGGGCGTCCAGCGTGGGCTAGGAACAAGACCAGGTGGAGGTGTCGACCTCCGTGTTGAAGGTGGTGGCCTCGCAGAATTGGTCGATGATCTTCTGCCGCTCGTCGTCGCTGATGTAGCGTGTGGTCTCGGGGTGCCAATATATGCGCGAGGGCTCGTGGAAGCCCTGTGGGACAACCTCAATGATGGGCACTGCGTTGACGCTGATGATACCCTTCGGGCGGATGGCGGTCCAGTCGCGGTTGTTCGAAGCGAAGGACTGCTGCAGCAAGGCGAGGAGCCTCTTGGTGTGCATCTCTCGACGGATCTGACGAGGGGCTTTGTCGGCACCCACGTGGAGTGGCACCAGTCGCCCGTCAGGCGTCTTGACTTGGAAGGATCTCCAGGAGCCTCCAGGGAGTCGCAGCGCGCGTGCCAGTGCAAGAGCGCGGGCACCACCAACTCCAGCATCTCCCCGAACTCGCAGGAAGAAGCGCTTGGAGGGGACCTCCGCGCCGCCGACCAGCTCCAAATATTCGGGGGCCACTGTGGAGGCGCCAAACCATTCTGAAAGGCTAGCCAAGACCGCATTCTTGGCCACCATTGAGCTGCAGTTGGCGGAGAAGAGAAGTGGGTCAGCCTCGCGGTCATACTCGGCCAGCTTGGCCAGGTCGGTCGCTGGGAGGGCCTTCTCCGCCATGGCGAGCTGTTCACGGATCTCGCCAATCTGCTTGCGGAGGACGACGTTGCTCTGCTCCAAATCAGACTGGCGACGCTTGAGCTGGTGAATCTCGTTCGACTGGTGGGCCACATTCTTGAGCACGGGGTCGATATAGCCAGCCATGGCGCCCACCAATTCCTTGTGGGCGGTGGCCAGAGACTGCGTGCAGATGCTGTTGAGCTGGGTGACCGTGGAGTCCATGCGGGCCTGGACCAGCTCCAAGAGACTGTCCTGGATAGAGCTTGGCGACCCGCTTGCTCCAGCAGCAGGCGCACAGGGCGTGTCGGTCCCGCCGACTGGTGTGGCTGTGTCCTCCTGCGTCTCCAGCACCTGGAAGTCGCGCTCGATGTCACGCAGCTCTTGGGTGGAGAACTGTGGCCCCGTTGCCGCTGCGCCCCTCCAGGGATCGCATGTCTGGAGGGCATCTGGGGCAGGAGGGGCCACAGCCGCCGCGCCGGCTGGCGCCGAGGCGCTAGAGCTGCTGCTCGCTCCAGCCCACTGCGGCGGGGCTGCCAGGCTGCCAGGTCCGTCGCCGCGTCGCAGGCGATCACGTTCACTACGTTCACGAAGGGCGGGGGCGCGCGTGGATGGCGGAGCAGGGCGGTCGGCAGGGCCTCTGCCAATGTCAGCCCAGGCCTTGCGTCGAGCGCGACGGCGCGGGCGGTCCTCGCCCCCGCTGCGGCTGTGCTCGTCACGGCCCCCACGATCATCAGAAGAGCTGCCAGAGCCATCCGAGGCCATGCGAAAAAACAAAGTCGTGACTGAGGAGAAAGATTCGTGTTGGCGATGGTGTGGGGCACTCGCCCAGAAGGGGGAGCTCCAGCAGCCAGTGGTGTCGGGCCGCTGCTGGGAGCCCCCCGAAGCTGACCTGGCCAGCTGCCTCGGGACATGGATTACTTGAGCCAAAATGGCTACGGAAGGGGGGCCGAGAAGGAGGAGGAGCAGGAGGACGAGGGAAGAAGCGGAGGAAGAACCTCCCATATCACCCTCTACACAACTTTTACCTCGTGGAGCCGAAACCCCACCCTTCCCGCCTCTCGTCCTCCTCCTCCATTCCTCTCCAACCGTTCCTCCAGAGCGAAGGGACCAAGCCGCCGCGCGCGCGGCCCACTCCCTCGAGTTCCGTCGGCCACTTAGCAATGGCAACGCCGATGGGGGGCTGGACAGCGGCTCCGCCGAGGACCGCGGAAGCGAGCAACACTGGAGGGCACCACGTCATCAGGCCTTTAGTGGAAGCTTGAATGGGGAATCTTTGTATGACTTCTCAGCCGGCGAGAGGATAAGGGGAGGATTGTGCGACTCCCCAGCGATAGAGGGGGAGAGCGGAGGCTAAGCGTCGTGGCAATGCGGCGCCCTACGACAAGAACTACGCGGGAGAAACGTTCACGGACACATTCCCGTGCTCACTCCGGTGTTGTGCATCAACTGCCACGGCGGACCTGCGGCCACCGCCACGCGCACCCCAGCGTGAGGTGCGGGAGAAGTGAATTGGGCACCGCAGAGATGTTTTGCGGGAGGGAGGGTACTAAAATCATCGCCACAACGCTCGTGCCTCAACTTGCCCGGTCCTGTTAACAAATTCACGGCGGTGTTTAATTTCACGGTCATCTTGCAATGATGATGGCCGACCGTCTTTCTTGCTTATTTGCATCATGGTGTGGATTGTTCTAATCATGGGAGTGGAAGAACCTCCTGCCCACTTCGGGTTGGTGCTACAATACAGAAGAGCAAACTCGCCATACTCCTCCTTCTCCTCCCCCCTTCCCCCCTTCCCCCTCCTCCTCCTCCTCCTCCTCCTCCTCCTCCTCCACCTCCACCTCCTCCCTCCTCCCTCCTCCTCCTCCTCCTCCTCCTCCTCCTCCTCCTCCTCCTTCCCTGCTGCTGCTCGTAAAACTGGAGGAGGAGGACGACGACGACGGCAGCCAGCACGAGGATGACGAGGACGAAAAGGAGGAGGACGAGGAGGAACACGAGGAAGAGAAGGGGGAGCAGGCTCGCGACCGGCAGGTCGTCGCTCGGGTCGAAGGCGAAACCCGAGAAGTACTCTTGGAAGAGCCCCTGCTCGAGGGTAGCCGACCTCGGCACACGGCCCGCTCCCCTGAAGGGCAACGACGACGGGGGACCGGCTCAGGGTGGGAAACGTCAAGCCAGAATCGGCGATGCATCGCCGACACGTAAGTTGGCGATAAGCACCCGGTTGCGAAGCCGCAGGCTCCTTGGCGGGGTTTGCCATCGGGTCCCCATCGGCGATGATTGGGCGACCAGGGGTCGATGCATCCCCCCTGAGCGTATCCCCCCCCCAGTGTTGTTCCCCTGGTCTTTGAATCATTATTCGGCTCTCTGGCGGCCGTTCGGGGCGACCCTGGCACCCCCGGAACGCTCTCGGCGAGGCACAGCCGATGGACGGCACCCCGAGGCTGGAAATCCGACGAGACCCGACGACCACGCAAGAAAAACTCGAACCTACAACCTCGAGGCCAATGGCGGCGATGACTTGGCGATTAGGGGTTGACACGTTCTCACCCTCCGGAGTCTATCCCCCCCCACGTTTCGAGTAGGAGATCGACTGCAGAGTTGATGTGCCCCCAACGTTTCTTTCGTCCGTTCTACGGTTTATATGTAGAACGTTCTGTAGCTCAGCGAAAACAAGTTTTCTTTGAGTCAGCGAAAATCAACTTTGGGCCATCAACTCTGTGGTCGACCCCCAGCTCGAACGCTCCCCCGGAACCCCGCCCTGCCGCCGCGGGCGCCGCGTGCCGCGCCCTCCGCCCAGCGGCCATCGGAGGCCTCGTCGTCGCCGTCGCTGTCGCCGTCGTCGTCGTCGTCGTCGCCGCCGCCGCCGCCGCCGCCGCCGCCGCCGCCGCCGCCGCCGCCGTCGCCGTCGTCGTCGTCGTCGTCGTCGTCGTCGTCGTCGTCGTCGTCGTCGTCGTCTTTGGGACAGTTTGGGCACATTTTGGACCTCTGGGGGCCTCCACACGCCACCAGTGGCCTCCAGGGGCTGCAAGAGGGTCGTCGTCGTCGTCGTCGTCGTCGTCCTCGTCGCCATCGTCCTCGTCGTCGTCACCATCGTCTTCGTGTTCGCCCTCTCTCACCTCGCCCTCCATCCCCCCGTCGTCCGTTTCCGCAGGCCTTCACCCCTCCCACCACCACCCTGGAGGCACCCAACACGCGGCCAGAATAAGTTCAGTCGGGGACGCCGCGATGAAGAAAACCAAGTTCCTGATCGCGCCGCATCGCCGATGCGTCGGCGACATGGTGCCAACTTCGGGCCCCAATAGCTCCAACCTTCTGGAAACCCTCGATACCGTCCAAACCGGCATCTCCTGAATGGGACAACTTGGGCTTCCGCTGGTGGAGCCGTCCTCGTTCTGCTTCCGCCAGCTGCCGCCATGGAAGAGCAGTCAACCGCCCGATTCATCGAAGGGAAACCCTTTCCAAAACGCCCTATGTACACCCGCCTGCTCTGCTCTCCTGACTGCCCGACTTCGCCGCCGCACGCCCAACCCGGCCGACGCAGACTGAGCGGCCGACATCACCACCACCCGCAAATCCGCGCGCCGCTGCAGGACCTTCCAGAGGGGCGCGCGGCCGGGGGGCGCTGGGCGGGTCACGCGAGTGCGTTCCAGAGGACGTGCGCGCGCCCCAGATGCACGACTCGCGGACGCGCTGATCGCAGTCAGCGTGTCTCGAGAATCCTGCTCCTGCTCCTCCTCGCTGTCGGCGTCGTCCTGCTCTATCCTGCTTCATCTCCTCTTCTTCTTCTTTCCCAACCATCCTGTGGTGCTGGGTCCTCGTTTTGAAGAGACAGCGCCCCGCGTCTCCTTCCCTCCCGCTGCCCTCCCCGTTCTCCCTCCTCATCGTCATCGTCACCATCCTCATTCCCCACCATCCTGCGGTGTTGGGTCCTCGATTTGAAGAGACACCGCCTCGCGAACCTCCTACTACTCCTCCTCCAAACCTTGTCTGCTGTCTTTTGTAATGGCGGCGGCTAATGCGTCCCTCGTTGAATCGGCTTGGTGCGTCCCATCGGTGTAGAGGTGGATTCGCTTGACTCTGCCGGACGGTCCGTTGTTGTCGTCTGTCGTCCGTGGGAGTAGCTCCTCGGTTACGATCTCTCCCGCATGGAGCAGGGTCGTTTAGCGGTGGAGCTTTGTTTATGTGGACCTGGATCACTGCAGCCTGCTGAGCGCCTGCTGCGCGCGAACCCAATGCGAGGCTGAGGGCGCTGTCGGTGCCGTAGCCGTGACATGTAATCGCACCCGCGGTCTCGATGTCAAGCTGCCCTGGAGGTTGGAATGGGCGACCCTCGTCCGGGTTCTTCCTCGTCGGGCTGGTGGCTCTCGACTTCGATTCCGTGCCCTGTCAGGATGGTCGGTGCTCGTTGGCGCCGTTGCTACTGGTGGGCTCGTGAGTCGCCGTTTGTTCACTGTGTCGTCTCTGTTGCTGCCACCCGGGATGGGCGGAGCGCTGGTAGATATTGCAATCCGCCGGAGCGGTGCCACACCAGGTCCCCCGGTAGAGGTTGGGCCGTGGGGCGCGCCTCTGACTGACCGTTGGGTTGGGTCTGGTGAGGCGCGTGCGCACTGCGTGACGCCTGCGGTGGGGCGTACCCGTTTGGGTTAACGCTATGGCTGCGTGGTGCACCAGGCTGCGCGAGCTTCGTGCATCCTCGCGCTGCCGTCTAGCTGTCAGTCTCCAGTTATGGATGCGAGTCCAATCGGACGAGCCGCGTCGTCGCTCGATGGTAGGTCGGTCGAGAAAAAGGGCGATCAGCGTCGGGCCGCCAGGGGAGATGGTGGCTCTCCTCGTTTTCCTGGCGCTCGAGCTTCTCGTTGTTGGGGCTGCGTGCTTGCGTTCGGGTGGTATGGGTGCCCCTCTTCTGGCGTGCCCGTGATGGTCCTGCGTGGTGATAATAGCGCCTGCGGTGCCATCTCTTCGATGATTGCCAGGTCGTCGCCTCTCTTCTTTGGTATCGATAGCGTGTCCAGGACCACGACGTCTGGGTCTTTCTCCCCCTGGACTGGAGTTAGTGATGCAAAGTCGGTCTCGGTTTCAATGTCGCGGCGATCTGTCTTTCCTGGCGGTGCTGATCTTTGGTTTACACGCGTCGCTGGCAGCGGAATATCGCAATCTTGGCCCCCAAGTGGTGGGTCCAGCGGTTTCGTGCCGCGCGTAGGAGTCGTCGAATGTAATTGATGATGTCGTGCATGTCATTGCCGTTCCGCTGGTAGCTGGTCGCCTTGGCAATCGTGCTGCATCGGGCTGGCCGCAAATGTCTTCATATTGTCGGCCTTCCTGGCCGCCCCATCGCTCTGTGTCTGGACGGGTTGCGTAATGCCAGGGGGCGGACTTGGCGAAGGCATGGGCTTTGCCGGCTGCGTGAAACTGACGACCGACTCGTCGTCGCTGGGGATCTCTGTAGATAAGGCCTTTTCATGCTGGTCAAGCATCTCCACCTGTCGACGCCATTGTTGTGCATGAGCTGCGGCTTGCGGGACGTAGACGTACTCCTGGCGGCCTCCCCAGTGCGTTTCTGATAAATATCGTTCAATTCTCCAAATTGGTTATTTTTTATTGTATATGTTGATCTCGTGCTGGTGGGCCTTGCTCTGCTCGTAGGAGCCGATTTCTGCTCGTTGGAAACTAGGTTCGAATCGACTTTTGCCTGAACTGCATGTTGCGGCGCCTGCTCCTGGTATTCGTTCATTCCCGGGACCGCCATGCTAGTTATTGCTCGTGTTGTTGAGCTTATTCAACGTATCTGGTTTGCGCCTGCATTGCAATCTCGGTGACTTTGCCGGAAAGCGGGCTCCACTCGCCTGATGCGGCGTTGTATTTCAATGCGCGCGTCGCTGGGGAAATTATTCTTGCTGTCCTGTTGCTTGCGGAACTCAAGCTGCTCGTTGTTGGTATTGACGAGGTTGCCGAACTTCGGTTTGGCCTCATTGTTGTTGGGCTTGACGTCGTGGGCGATTCGTTGGTTGTCCTCCCTCAGCGTCATCAGGAGCGCGCGCCGCTGTCTTTTCTGTCGGTTGATTCCCCAACCCTTCACCGTCTCCATGGGGCCAATGTTGCCGCGCCCCTTGGTTGGCAATCTCTGTGGGATGGCTCCGCCTCGTCGTCAGCGGGCCCTGTGTTGTTGTAGGCGTCGCCCCTTGCGTTGTTGATGCTCCTCCTGATGGCCTGGATCTCGGTGATTTTCCTTCCACCATTTGTCGGTCGAATCTACCTCCTTGCCGTGCGCTTTGGTGTGCTCGAAGTGGTCCTCCATGACCTCCTTGGTGCGTTCAATTTCCCTGGCCTGTTGGGCGAGCGGCGTGCTGCTGGTGATGATGGCCCTGATGAAGGCGATGTGGGTCTCGGCGTCAGTGGTCGGAATCCTGGCGGCACTATTCTAGGTGATGGCCGCTGCTGACCGTCGTTGCTCTGTAATGTTGGGATTCTCCCACTATTATTTTAGCTCGGGGTCGTCTGGTGGTGTCTCCAACTCTGGTTCTCTGCTGGCGTGAATCTTCAACATGGGCATGACGTTGCCGATGGTCCTGCTGGTGTGGTCGTTGTGCTCCTGGCTGGCGTCCCGCTGCTCCTTCTTGGCGTGGGAGTCCTCTTCCTGTTGGCGTTGGTGTTTTGCTTTGCCCTTGTCAATTTTGTTTTTTGTCTGCCAATCTGGCGGGTGTCGCCGTCCTCGGTGTAGTCGTCGTGCGGCTTGGGGAGACTGCCCTTCCCCTTGGCGGTGGTGCCCTTGCCCTTGCCTTTGGTGCCCTTGCTCCAGTAGGCGTCGGGGTTCTGATTTGCTTACTGTGCAGTTCATTGGTCGTTCCTCCTGTCCAGGCCTGCGCCGATCGCAACTGTAATGGTTCGCACAATTGGGCCTCAATTCGGCGTTCGGCTCGACGTTGGTCGCCACGGCGCCGTCATTGTGGGAGCTTGTGGTGGATGTCGCGGTGGTCGTTGCGCACAATGGTGACGCACCAATAATTGCTGAACTTGCAGTACCCGAAATCGTGTGCTAGACTTGGCCGTCTCGGGTCGGAGCGGCGGCCTATGCCAAGCGGGTCTCCTCGATCTGGTAGTCGTGGATGTCGTCGTGGGCCGAAGCGGGGCGCGAGAGCAACCGTTCGAATTGTGGATGCCAGCGTGCTATCGCGGCCGCCCCGCTGAGGAAAGGCGGGCGACGCGCTTACCACCGCCTCGATGGAAGTCCTGTACCTCGCGGGCAAATTTTCGGGCGTGCGCGGCTTCCTCCTTCTCCTCCTCCTCCTCACCGCGCGCGCGTTCCCGCGCGTTCTGGTCGGGAGGGGTGACAAAAAGAAAAGCAGGAGGGCTGATCAGGGGGAGGGGGGAGGATGATGAGAAGGAAAGGGGAAGAGCAGAGTCAGGAGAGATGGGGAGGAGAGAGAGAGAGAGAGAGAGAGGGGAGCATCGACGGCTCTCCCTCCTCCTTCCTGCGCTACCCCCCCCTTCCATCTCCCTTCCCTCCCCCTCTTCCTCCTCTTTTCTCCTCCTCGATCCCCCAAACATGCGACATCCGGATTTTTTCAAGACCCGACCCTCTCCTCGTGGCCCGTTTTTCATTCCAAGTCGTTTCTTGACGATCCCGAGGCCTGGCGAAGGCCCGAGGCCGAAAATGGCCAAAAACCTCCCGTCCTGTTTCTGTTCTTTTCCACGACACGATCCTGTCTGGGCTTCCCTCCTCTATCTCCTCCTCGATCCTCCTCCTCCGACCCGACTGTCTTCCTCCTGGGCCGCCTGCTGAACAGCTGTTCGGCAGGAAGAGGGAGGAGAGGGGAGGAGAAAGGAAGAGGAGGAGGGGGAGGAGGAGGAGGAGGAAAGGGGGAGGAGGAGGAGAGGGGGAGGAGGAGGAGGAGGGGGAAGAGGAGGAGGAGAGGGGGAGGAGGAGAACGGAAGAGGAGGAGGGGGAGGAGGAGGAGGATCCCGGACTTGGCCGGCGGTGGCCTCCCGCAGCAGCGCCAGGAGGAAGTCCGTGTGCAGGCTCCGCTCGTGCGCCTCTCGGCGAGACGACAGCGACGACTACGACGACGACGGCGGCGACGACGATGGCGACGACGAGCGACAGCGACAACGACAGCGGCGAGCGACGACGACGACGACGACGACAGCGACGACGACGACGACCGACAGCGACGACGACGACGACAGCGGCGAGCGACGACGACGACGATGACAGTGACGACGACGACGGCGACGGCGGCGGCGGCGGCGACGACGACGACGACGGCGACGACAGCGACCGGTGATGACAACGACGACGACGACGACGACCGACGACGACGACGACGACAACGACGAGGGCGGTGGCTCCGCCCGTGTGCCTTCGGCGCGAACGGTCGGGATTCTGCGAACGCCGCATGATCTGCTGCTCGGCCTGCTGAAGATTTTGATGCTCTTCGGTCTTCTGGGGCCTCCTGGGGAGCCCAGGCCGCCATGGCTGGAATCGCCTCGAAACGCTGGCCCGCCTACTTTGAAACACGTTCGTTCAAACCCATGTTGGCCGGTGAGGGCCCCGAACAGTGAGTATGTGCAAGCTGTGGTGCAAGCTATGCGGTGCAATCAATGTGGTGAAAGCTATGTGGTGCAAGAGATGTAAATCAATCGATATGGTGCAAGCAATATGGTGCAGGCTGTGCGGTGCAAGCTGTGTGGTGCAAGCTGTGCAGTACGATCTCTATGATGGGAGCTATGAGACGCAAGCTATGTGGTACAACCTTTGCGAGGCGAGCTACGCAGTGCACCCAGCGCGCGAGGCGGCCGCGAATTGCCCACAGAGCGTCCACGGGTGGCCACTGGGCGAAGAACCCGGAGCCGCCAACCAACGCGCGGGACGCCCACGGGCGGCCACTGGGCGAAAAAACCGTAGCCGCAAAGAAGAAGGTACCTCACATTCAACCACTGTTTGGGGAACTTCGTGGACTTGAACAACCTGCCCCTTAACGCATGCTTTTCAACCGCCCTGGCACCGTGGGCACCAGCGCCAGGTTGGCGCAGGAGACACTCGCGTAACGAAACAGGTGGGCCCCCAGAGGGCACGTCTGCGGGGACACATCCTGCACCTCAATCGGGCCGCTCAGACAGGCGGGCCCCCAGAGCGCATTCTGCGGGTCACGAACAGAATGCCATGACATGTGAAGCGACCGAGTGGAAAGGATAAGGTGGCGCCAGCACCCACGCGCTTCGACGTGCCACCAACGAACCAAAGACAATGCGACACCACAAGGGCGCGAATTGTTGTCCGTCCGAAATCAAATACGTACCTCAATGAGCAACTGCCGCAATCGTCCAACATGCTTGCAAAGGCGTGCCGTATCAAACGATGGAAACGCACCTTGTGAACAACATTGGATCTAACTCGCAATATAGAATTCCAACGAACAACATGGACCGCGTCAGCCGTCCCCGCAGGGACTGCCATTGTCAAACAAGCGAGCAAACATCACTTACATTTTCACTATTACAGCGGCTTCATCTGACCCGATCCACGACATTCACAGGTGCGTAAGCGAGTTTTTCTTTAATATGGAACTGGGCAATCCTATGCGCATGGCTCGTCGGGTACGCAGGGAACAATCACGCGCAACTACACACAATGTTGCACGACCCTATTGTTTTGGGTGCGCACACTTTCAAAACGAGCCCTCAAAGAACACACAAGAACACAGCCAGATTGCAATGTCCGAATCGCTACGTCTTGTGCTCGACATGCATCGTTCGGGTGGCTCCCTTCTGTGGCGCTGGCCGCAGTACTCGCTGCCAACTGGGATCGCCGTCAGAAGCTTCGATGGCGCGGCGTCAGTGATCTCACGGTGGCCGCCACCGCGCGCTCGTTGGCTCGCGGTCGGCGAGCCAGTGGTAGTCCCTGGGACGCATGCGTCCTCGTTTTTTGTTGTTGTTTTCTATCCCCATGTGCATGTGGAATCACGCAGTGCTGCCTAGCCGCACCCCCTGGGTAGACGAGTTGCCGAATATGTCCCTCCCATGAGCTGCATGATCTACATGGGCGTCTACAGCGGAATGCTGCAGGAAGTGCGCTTCTGGAGAGCAAACACGGTCTGAATAAGTGAGACATCGGTAAGTAGAGACTCCCGAGAGTCATCAGGAGAAACGGTCGCCAACGTGGAGTCACATTAACTTGGCGTAGCTTGTGGTTGCTTGGGCAGGTAAATAGATAGCTTGCGCCTTGCGGGCCATGAAACGAGGTGTCATCATATATGGTTGTTGCGGTGTGCGCGACTCCTCTGTGCAACATCCTGCGTTCAGCAACGGATACTTGGGCAGACGGTGTGACGCTGGGTTCTGCGTGCTTGATCGTCGCATGTCTGGCGGCAATTTGGCAAGTTAAGCAACCGTAGCTGGTTTCTTTCTTTTTCGACTCGCCCTGTTGTACATGCTTTTATCTTTTCTATTGCTTGCGATTGTCCCACTATAACGGCCCGTGAGGCCTGTTCTATTCAGCTATACCCGTTTTTGGAGACTTGGTTTTTGCGTTTGGTGGGGCATCGAAGCAATGCCACTACAAATCTGCCAATCGCACGGCGCATTCCGCCATTGCAACTCCAAGAAACATTCAGTGATCATTCGGAAGAAAATAAACATTCGAACGCGTTTGAATTCTGCTGCAAACCTCTTCGAAATCAAACCGGGCCAACTTCGTGTGCGCTCGAACCAGTCACTTGCAACCAACACGCTCTTTGGGCGCACCATCTGGTATCATAGAAGAAGGCAAATAATGGATCGACCGTGAGTCAGGGGGTTGGAACGGCGGCCTCTACGGCACAAGACAATGGAAATCGTCACGAACAACCTCGCGAAACACCAACCTATATGAACATACAATCTCGCGCTCTGTCATCCGCGCTTGGCTACGCGGCGCCACCTACCTAGAATGGTTTGCAAACGACTCGCGCATGTGTAATCCTCCGTTTACCTAGCGGCAGCTTTTCTGCTCTGTCCAAGCCACTTGCACCTCGATTCCGATCACTATCGCACTACATGGCAAAATCTGGCCCGTTCGACCGCAAACTGTTGTGCGCTGTCTCGGACGCCGCTGGCCCACATGTTCTTGACCATCGGCCAGAAATCGTTCTCCGCCACCGTGCCTGCACAGAGAGGGCGTGTTAGAATGCTCTTCTGTTGTTGTCTGGAGGGCGTTTTACTCTTTTGTAGGGCCGACATCTCCCCCCATGCCTCGTGCCCGTCTTCAAAGCATCGATCTTCCTGGAGTCGCTTTCCAGCGTTCTCTTTGGCCTTTAGGCGGCCAATATGGCCTCCAAGACAACCAAAATGACATCAAGACGGCTCAACACGGCTCGATAAACTTCCAAGACGGCCGTCAACGGTCTCCGGGAGGCCCTCCGCGAGAGCCCGAAGTTGCAACACACATTGCTTCACCGTGAGCGTTTTTTGAAGGATTTCGAAATTCTCACTGGTTTGGGTTTCCGACATTCCAAGGTGACCCAAGAGGCCTCCAAGACAACTCCAAGGCGGCCCAAGAGGCTTCCAAGATGGCCCCCTCCAAGTCGGCCCAAGAAGACCCCAAGATCGCCCCAAGAGCTTCCCAAGAGAGCCCCAAGGCGGCCCTCAGGCGCTCCAAAAGGGCACCAGCACGGCTCGGAGAGGCCCCCAGAGTGGCCTCCGAAGGCGTCAGACAGGCAAAGAGCCCCCCAAGACGGCCCAAGAGGCCCGATGGCCCCCGAAACACACGACATACACCCGAGACCCTCCAAGTTACCCCCAGAGGGCCCCCCCCCGAATCCCCTGGAGTGTTGCACAAGCCCGAAGAGCCCCCAAGACACCTGTCCGACAGACGCGGAGGAAGTGGAGGAACACGAAGGCGAACCAGGCAGCAACCACTGCACGCAAACAGCACGCCTGGACGTGTCAACTCACACGCGCAACATTGGAAACCGCCAATATCATTCTGTGGGGTCGGCGGGATCGCGTAAGCGTCTTGATCAAATAATCTGATGTATTGTCGCCACCCTGTCGAGACCAGTATGCCAGATAACAAGTCGGGCTGCCAAACAATTTCATAATCGGGGGCGTCCTTCGAGGTTACGAGTTGGCGGGCCGTTGCCGAAACTGCTGAACAGACTTGGGAGAGGACCGTTGCCAGGGCCGTGTGTAAGCAAATCCGCTGGAAGCCTGTTTTGGCCAGTTAATCCACACCTTTTGGAGTAAGCTAACGGCTCTGCCACCAAACAGGCGTAGAACTCGCGCGGGCAGAAACTGCGTTTGTAACATCACACCCTGGCGGCAACGACGCACGACTAACAACATGTGGCAACTGCTTCGATTTACTTTACCGTGCATGTGGGGCACCAGGCGGGAATCTGCGGGACACCACGCGGGAGACCATGCGGGAAACCATACGGGTGCACATCACATCGCCGATTCCAGGGCCGTCGGCGGCGCCCCACTGGCCCTTCCCGCGAGCCACGTGCACGGCCCACACGGACCAGCTGTTCAGGGAACGTGAACTTGTACATTGGCTTGCTGTCTGGGACTGCGTGGTATCTGCTCGACTTAGCTGCCCCGACACGCACCACGCAACACGTAGCGTGTTGACAAGGAGCTCAACACGTCGACCGAACACGTACGTCTGACGCGATGCGTTCGCCAAAACGTGGGCCAATACGTTGAGCCAACACGCAACGCATCGACACGGACGTTTGGAACACGGTACGTGTTGCGTTTCAAAACGGGCGTCTCGAGGCAGCTAAGATGCCCCACGAACTCGTGCAGTCTCCGCCACCGTGCCCCCGTAGCTCGAAGTGGGGTGCCCCCAGGTCCCCTGCTCGACCCCTGAGCCTCGGTCCTCAGTCCTGAGGGTTCGTTTGACGGCCCTGGACCACGAATTCACAAATCCCCTGGGGCTTCCCGCGTGCCTCCTGCGGCTCCCCGCGTCTTGTCGCGTGACTTTTTTCTCGGAGCCAAGAAGGCCCCAAGGCGGGCCAAGAGGGTCCCAAGAGGCCTCCAAGACGGCCCAAGAG